TGAGTATATATATATATATATATATATATATATATATATATATATATATATATATAATATGTGTGTGTTTAACCCATATAACTTAAACCCATAAATAATAAGTAATCATAACTATTTAATTCAAACAACTATTCACAATCAAAATAATTACTAATTTTCTCTTATTTTATTTTTTATGTAAGGTAATTCACACGTCATAGAAAAATAGTATCAATTTTCATAATAAAATAACTATATTTTAGTTTTTGAAATTTTTATTCTGTTTTTTATTTTAAAAAAAAATTAAATATTATTTTTAATCTGTAAAAAAAATTATTATTGTAAAATGAATAATTTTGATTTGATTCCTTGTAAAATACTTTTCTTTTATTTCTATCTCTTTAAAATCTAATATTACTATTTTTGATTCCTAATAATGATTTTAAATTAGATAAATAATATTTATTTTAAAAACTTATAAAAAAGTATTTTAGAGGTGTTACACACCAATTAGGGTTGAAAATGAGTCGAACTAAATTGAGCTCGATTTAGTTCAATAATATTTGGTTTAGCTTGTAATTTGGCTCTAATTCATTATAAATATTTTTTTACAACTCAACTTTAATTTGAGTTTGTGATCAATTTAGTTTAGCTCATTAGTTCAAATGACATGAAGCAAAACTCAATTATTTTTAATTTTATATGTTTCAAAATTTCAATTTAATAATAAATTTTAGAATAAATAATATATTTTTTTAAAAGACAAAACATAACTTGTTCTATTAGCTTAGCAAGATTGTAAGGAATGATTCTAAAAAAAATATGATTATAACTAAAATTTGTATAAATTAAAAATACATCTTTTATGAAATAATAGAAAATTCAATTCATAATCATAAATTTTTAAATTGTGCACTTATTTTATTATTATTAATTTATAACTATGTTTTGAAAGTTCTTTCAAAATTTAACAAGTTAAAATCAAATAGAATATTAATTATATAAATTAAATATTTATATTTCAAACCGATTCCTGAACTAAATAAATTGAATTATACATAAGTCAAATTTGACTCATCTATTTATTGAACTCAATTTTTAACTCAAATTCAGCTCATTTAGTTCATAAATCAAATTAAACGAGTTAATTGTTGAATCAAGTCTCAAATTATTTTTAAGTTAGTTTGATTCACCGTTATCCTAAATAAAAAAAAAATTTAGTTCTAAACTCTATAAAAATGAAAAAAAAAGTTTTAAAAGGACCAAAATCAAAATTTTATTTATAAGTACAAGATACATATTTGAGTTGTCATAATTTTATTTGAAATATTCTTATTAACAAAGGGTGTTCATCGGCCACGAATATGGATCAATCCGAAAAACCTATGAATCTAAAACAAAAACAATATCACAAATTCAATCCAAGCTGTTGTGTGCCCACCCCTATTATTAACTGCACTCTATTTAGGATAAAAAAGAGACGCTTATTTGTTCACCTATCTATTTAGGATATTATTAAAAAAATAAGTAATACCTTTTAATATCACAAAAGGATAAATAATTTAAAATTTCAAAAAACAAATAAAAAATAACCTTATTTTAATAATGATTACCTGGTCTTATCCTCAATTTATCACATAGAAGAAAGAAGCACGGATATACATTAAAAAAATGTAATTAAAAAACTTACGATAAAATTAAGAATTAATTAATCATTTCAATAGTGTAAGTAAATAAGTTTATCATGGAAAAAATACAATACTTTTTTTATATTTAACATTATTCAGTATTGATGTATTTGTACATAAATGAAAAGTATTTTAGAAAAACTGAAGACTTTTAAAGGATAAATACATTCAAGAAACTGAAGTTAATTAATTAAATAAATATTCATTTGCTTATACACACACATATATATATAAGTAAATAAGTTTATTATGGAAAAAATATATAACTTTTTATATTTAACATTATTCAGTACTGATGTATTTGTACATAAATGAGAAATATTTTAGAAGAACTGAAGACTTTTAAAGGATAAAAGCATTCAAGAAACTGAGGTTAATTAATTAAATAAATATTCATTAGCTTATATATATATATATATATATATATATATATATATATATATATATATATTCTAGATCTTATATGTATATACTTGTTCGTTTCTGTGTAGTATTCTGGTGTGCTGTGCTGTGTGTATTGACCAGGCGGG